CTCAATGGCACTTAACAATAGCAGCAACCTCACCCGAATGTCCTTACTGCTGATTGGTTGAGCACATTATATCACATCATGAGGGATGATTACATCATTATGTAACAACCGAATTATAACATCAAATAACTGCCAAACTGCTAAAAATAATGGCGTAGCCAAATTGACACACATTTGTAGTGGACACGTTTCAGTGCATGACAGGAGAAATCGTTCTATATCTCTATTTTTTAAGTCTTTTAGTGAGGCTTTATTAATGCTAAATTCTTTTTCTGCTCCCTCAAAATGTCTGTTTTACCCTACCTTCCTTGTTGGGAAACAATTTCATTAGGCATAAATTTTAGGCTGCCAGTTATTTCTCCCAGCACAGTACAGATCTTGTGGCACTGTTTTTTGACCTCCATTGTTCTGATGAGTAGCACCATGATTAGCATTGGCCTTACCAGGTTACTAGTTAGAAATGGAAATTTTCAGGCCCCATCCTGGCACTTTGACACCCTGGTGGGTCCCAGCTGCCAGTCTTTTAACAAATCCTCTAGATGATTCTCTTGACACTATAAATATTAAGCTAATCAGATTTCTTGAGGTTCGGCACAGGCCATTTTCCTGAGCATGTTGCTGCCTACAAAATGAACAGAGTTGGTAGTATATTGTCAAGGAAGAATGGGCGATAGTTGCTGGATAAACAATCACAGAGTAGTTACAAAAGATAGCATAGAACTCACTCTTAAACTTTAGATACTTTATTTTCAGTATTTCAGTTATTTTACCCAAGTAATTCTGACACCAACTACATGGATTTAGGCCAGACTTACAGGTTAAGGGCACAGTTCTCCACAAGACTGCCCTCATTTAGGTATCAGGCATATACTTGGGGGGGCAGTGATGATGTCCAAGACACCATTGGTACTCCTTCAGCCTCAGTCATTTGCTAGAACAACTCAGAACTCAGGAAAATGCTGTACTTAAAATTGCAGTTTAAATGTAGCATAAGGATACAAATCAGAGTCATCAAAAGAAGAGGACATGCAGAGCAAGGTCTGGGAGGGTCCCAAAAGCAAAGCTTCTGTTGGTATCTCTCCATGGAATCAGGACAGGTCATCTTCCTGGCAAAGTGTTGTTGTTACTGCTAAGTGCCATTAAGTGTGCTCTGACTTACAGCTACCCCTATGCACAACAGAACGAAACAGTGCCTGGTCCTGCACTCTCCTCACAATTGTTGTTACGCTTGTGCCAGTTTATGTTGTTGGGGGTCTTTTTCTTTTGCTGACCCTTCATGTTGTCAAGCATGATGTTCTTCTCCAGAGATTGGTTCCTCCTGATAATATGTGCAAAGTACAAGAGACAAAGCCTCACCATCCTGGCTTCTAAGGAGTGTTCTGGCTGTACTTCTTCGCACACAAATTTGTGTGTTCTTTTGACAGTCCGTGGTACTTTTAATTTTCTCCTCCAACACCGTAACTCAAATGCATACTTCAGCTTTCTTCCTTGTTTACTCTCCAACTTTTATATGCATATGAGGCTATTGCTACCACTCATCTGTCAGCTTGGTATACTTTGGTGGCTTGTGAAGTTGCTGTGATTTTGAAAGCTATGCCATGGGTATTTTAAATACCAGCAGGATCATCCATGGTGGACAGGTTTCAGATGAGCTTCCAGATGACGACAGTCTAGGAAGAAGAAGTGACGAACTACTTACGAATATTTAGTCACTGAAAACCTTATGAATAACAGAGAAACACTGTCAGATACAGTGCCGGAAAATGAGCTGCTCAGCTTGGAAGGCACTTAAAATGCGACTGGGGAAGAGCTGCCTCCTCAAAGTAGAGTTGACCGTGATGATACGAATGGAGTAAAGCCCGTGGGACCTTCATTTGCTGATGGGGCACAACTCAAAGTGAAGAGAAAAAGCTGTAAATATCCATTGAAAATCAGAACATGGAATGTACAAAGTATAAATCTGGGAAAATTGGAAATTGTCAAAAATGAAATGGAACGCATAAACATCAGTATCTTAGGCATTAGTGAGCTAAAATGGACTGATATTGGCCGTTGTGAATCTGACAGCCACATGATTTACTATGCCGGGAATGGCAAATTGAGGAATGGTGTTGTATTCATTGTCAAAAAGAACATATCCAGATCAGTCATGAGGTACAACGCTGTCTGTGATATAAAATACCTTTTTTAAACAATGTAAAAGATGATTATACACATGGACTTCACCAGGTGTAATGCACAGAAATAAAATTGACTACATCTGCGGAATGAGATGATGGAAAAGGTCTTATATCATCAGTCAAAACATAGCCGGGGCAGATTGTGGAACAGACCATCAGTTGCTCATATGCAAACTAAAACTGAAGCTGAACAGAATGAAAACAAGTCCACGAGAGCCAAAATATGACCTTAAATATACCCAGCTGAATTTAGAGATCCTCTAAAGAACAGATTTGATACATGAAACACTAAAGACTGAGACCAGAAGAGTTGTGGGATGACATCAAGAACATCATACATGAAGAAAGCAAAATGTCATTGAGAAGACAAGAAAGAAGGAAAAGATCAAAAGGGATGTCAGAAGAGACACTGAAACGTGCTCTCCACTGAAGACATGCTAAAGCAAATGGAAGAAATGAGGTCCAAGAGCTCATTTCAAAGGTCAGCACGAGAAGATAATGCCAAATATTACAGCAAAATGTGCAAAGATCTGGAATCAGAAAACCAAAAAGGAAGAACACGCTCATCATTTCTCAAGCTGGGGGAACTGAAGAAAAAATTCAAGCCTAGACTTTCATTATTGAAAGATTTCTGTGGCCAATTATTGAATGATGCAGAAAGCATCAAGAGAAGATGGAAAGGATACACAGAGTCACTGTACCAAAAGGAAATGGTTGATGTTTGACCGTTTCAATAAGTAGCATATGATCAAGAGACAGTGATACTGAAGGAAGAAGTCCAAGGTGCAATGAAGGAAGTGGCAAAGAACAAGGCACCAGGTATTGATGGAATAAAAATTGAAATCTTTCAAGAAAGTGAGAGGTGGCACAGGAGGTACTCACTCATCTATGGCAAGAAATTTGGAAGACATGTATCTTGCTTACTGATTGGAAGAGATCCATATTTGTGCCCGTTCCAAAGAGATGTGACCCAACGGAATGGGGAAATCATCCGACAATCTCTTTGATATCCCATGTGAGTAAAGGTTGACTAAAGGTAATACAGAAACAGCTGAAAGCATACATTGACAGAGAACTTACAGAGGTTCAAGCCAGATTCAGAAGAGGCCATGGAGTGAGGGATATTATTGCTGATATCTGAGGGATTTTGGCTGAAAGCAGAGAATATCAGAAAGATGGTTACCTGTACTTTATTGACTACTCAAAGGCTCTCGATTGTGTGGATCATGACAAGCCTATGGGCAACATTGTGAAGTATGAGTATTCCAGAACACTTAATTGTGCTCATGAGGAATCTGTACCTGGACAGAACATGAGAACAGTGAATGTTTTAAAATTAAGAAAGGTGTGCAATGGTTGTATTCATTAACCGTACTTAATCAACCTGTTGGCTGAGCAAATAATCTGAAGAAAATCGTGGCCTTGGGACTGATGACTCATTAACAACCTGCGATATGCAGATGATACAACCTTACTTGTTGAAAGTGAAGACTTAAAATATCTACTAATGAAGATCTAAGAGCACAGCCTTCAGTATGGATTGCATCTCATTGTAATGAAAACAAATATCCTCACCACTGGACCAATAAACAACATTCTTATCAAAGGAGAAAAGATTGAAGTTGTCAAGGACTTCATTGGTCTTGGCTCCACACTCAACATTGATGGAAGCAGCAGTTAAGAAATTAGACGACAAATTGCATTTGGCAAATCTGCTGCACAAGACCTTTTGAAACTGTTGAGGAGCAAGTGCCATGGCCTGCCAAAAGCACAAACAGATCTGTGTTGGAAAAAGTGCAGCCAGAGTGCTCCTTGGAGGGCAGGATGGCCAAACTTCGTCTCTCATACTTCAGACATAGTGTCAGGGGGGACCAGTCTCTAGAGAACCTATCATGTTTGGTAAGGTGGAGGGTCAGAGAAAAAGAGCAAGACCCCCAGCAAGATGGATTGGCAAAGTGGCAGCATCATTGGGCTCAAGTGTGGCAACAGTTGTGTGGTTGGTCCAGGACTGGGCAGTATTTCTTTCGTTCTGTTGTACATAGGGTCGCTATCAGTCAGTACCAACTTGATGGCACCTAACACATGAGGCTATTGAAAATACCATAGCTTGAGTAAGGTGTACCTTAGTCCTCAAGCTGACATCCTCACTCTTGAACACTTTAAAGAGGTCTTGTGCAGCAGATTTGCCTGGCAGATTAATTTGTCATAATATGTTGAACATTGACAACCAGGGAAGTTGGGTGTCCATAGTATTTATTGGGTTTTCATTGCATAGGCATGATTGATCCCCCTGCTTCAGAGGTCTACATAGTATTAAACTAATTAGAGGACCAACATGGCTTGTTTTTCAGGCATGCCCAGTCCCCTTCCTGAGTCAACTTTTAGTATACATCATCAGGGTCTACTATGAATAGCAAAGGTTATCACTTGGGAAATTCCAAGGGTTTAAAGATAAACTCCAAGGACCAGGACAAAGACTAGCCAACTCTGTTATGCAACAGTGTTAATCCCTGTGTTAGAAATAAGAAAACTGAGTTTAGTTCTAAATAACTTATTTAACTTGACACATTTTGTATACCTTAGAATGTGGATTTGGAACCATTGAATATGGATACAAATTCCGTGGATTTTCCAACAGCTAATCAGCATTTACTATGATAAGTTAAGGGTTTAGTTTATTTTTTTCAGTGTCATACTAGAGTCTATAGAGTATTTAAATTTTTCAGTAAACTTTTTTATACCATTTATTCAGTTTGTTAAATGCATTCTTGATTGTTTCATATACATGTTCTTTTGGGTTTTTTCTACTTAATGTTGTAGGCTAACTGTGATCTCAGACGACAAATAGATGAACAACAAAAATTACTTGAAAAATACAAGGAACGATTAAATAAGTGCATATCAATGAGCAAGAAACTTCTTATTGAGAAAGTAAGTTAAAAAGTTCAGTACTTTGCCTATATCCCTTCATCAGACCATTTTCCCTCTGCAGGCTTTCACAATTTAAGTGAATAAATTTGAGTGATAAATTTTCTTCCTTTTTGCAGAGTACACAAGAAAAACTGTCAAGCAGAGAGAAGAGTATGCAAGACAGATTACGCCTTGGGCACTTTACAACAGTTAGACATGGTGCTTCATTTACTGAACAATGGACAGATGGTTTTGCATTTCAGAATCTTGTGAAGTTAGTCATTTGTACATTTTTTAAAGTTTAATATTCATATGGGTTTTCTTTACTTTAAAAGATTTTAGATTTTGAATTATGTTCTACATCTCCTCCTCACTATTCTTTGAAATTACTGAATTTAGTATACTTAATAGAAGGATGTAGCAAAAATGTTAAATTACAATTTTAGCTTTATAGAACTTCTTGATTAGCGTTTATCTGTAAAGTTTAATGCAGTATTCTAAATAGGACTTTCCAAAATATAAATTAATCTAGCTTTGTAGCTATTTTGGGAAGAAGAATATTGAAAATTAATTTTCATTGAATATTTTTTGTTTTGTTTTGTTTTTTTCTTTTTACATCCTTGGATTTTTTCATACTTATTCTTTCCCATTAGCTAATCCTTGTTTCATTATCAGTATTCAGTATATGCCTGCTTTCTGTCCCTAGGTAGAAGATAGGAACTTTTTCTCTTCTGAATCAGATACAGTAATTTATAAATCAGTTGAATTGAACATGTGTTTTTTTAGCATTTCTAAGGCAATCTTTTAAAGGAAGAAATTACTGCTAGCATATTTCCCTGAGATGAGATAGTAGTAGGTAAAGTTAATAAGTTAACTCCTTATATATTAAGAGTTAGAACTTAGACTGCTCCTTTCTTTGCTGAAGAATTTATAAGAACCTGAAAAGCAGAAGTAGCTCAGGTCAGCATGTACATAACTTTCTGACTCAATCCAGTTATACAAAATGAAAGCAAGGGTTTATTTTACATGTTATCACATCTACCTTGCTGTTTCAGATGCTGATAATCATGTTTTGCCACAGATTTAGTCATCTGCCCAGTTGTTCTCTCCCTCTCAGATTTATTCAGCTTGTGTTCAACACAACTAGGCTTAATGTTTGCTACACTGTAACAAAAGACAGAGTGCTTGTGATATTAGGGAGTTGGGGTTTTATTTCTGTGGGTAATGAACTGTTAAAGGTAGCATATAATGTATATAGTCAAAATTGTGTTTTAGAAAGTAAATTTTGGTGGTAATGTGGAAATGATACTGGAAAGAGTATAAATTGTTGACAGTAAAATAAAAAGGTGGTCCAAATAAAGGGGTAAGTAGGCTTGAGCTAAAATATTAAGAGTAACACTGGGGTGCAGGGTATTGAGTTGAGCTATCATTGTTGAATATTTTATGAGCAAAAAAGTCTCTGCTACTAAACCCAAGATATGCTAAGATTATGAAGATCTCAGTTAGAAAACAATTTTCCAAATGAGACCTAAAGGATGAGTATAAAGTGGTTCACAAGGTGGAATCATAAGGTTACGAATTTATATTGTAAATTTCAAGAAATGGTGCAGGGTTAGTTTGTTTTTTTTTTTTGCATGTTTTAATTGCGAAAAATAATGAAAAGTTAATATGGTTTTATTTATTTTTTGCACAGACAACAAGAGTGGGTGAATCAGCAAAGGGAAGATATTGAAAGGCAAAGAAAACTTCTAGCCAAACGCAAACCTCCCACAGCTAATAATTCTCAGGCACCTTCTACAAATTCTGAACCAAAACAAAGGAAAAACAAAACAGTCAATGGAGCTGAAAATGATCCCTTTGTTAGACCAAATTTGCCACAATTGTAAGCCTCAATTTTAATGTTTTATTGTTGATAGTGAGCATAAGTGTTAACACTGGATGTGATTTATAACTAAATTAATAAGACGTAAAAATAAGTATATTGTTGTTAAGAGCCGTTGAGTTGGTTCCGACTCATAGAGGACCCCTGTATAGAGGTTTTTGAGGAAAAACTGGTGGGTTTGAATCATTGACCTTGCAATTATAAGTCCAGTGCTTATCCTACGATGCCCCACCAAGACTCCAAAACCAGTATAAAGAAGAAAGTCAGTATTAAAAATTTAGCTTTAAATTAATGATAAGCACAAAATATCCAACTTCTACCTTTTTTAGCAATTTACTTTTTAAACAGAGACTTAGATAGCTAGGACGGGATTAGAATATATTCCCTTTTCCATATTTGAATGGTACAGATTCATTTAAAGCTTTGATTATTCCATTTCAGAGTTGCATTAAATGTATTTTTGAGAGAATTATGTTAAACAATGTTACTGACATTTCTCAGCCTATGAAAGCAGGACATTGACTATTTTTCCTTTCTGCTTTTCTCTGTTTTCTATATTTTCTGCATTAATGATGAATTACTCTTTATAATTTGAAGGTTTCAGCCTTTTCTTTTTTTAAGTTGTTACACATTTCTTGTAGAAAACATGAACAAGCATAGTAAAACTATATGAGGGGATTTCAAAAAAGTTCATTGGAAAAGGGAATTAAAAGGTAATAGAATTTTTCCATGATCTTTTAGAACCCCTTGCATGTAGACCGTAGTTTATCCCACAGAGAATTCCATTGTTAAAGGTTTTGATACACCTACATCTAAAGAACATGTCCAGATCAGTCATGAGGTACAACGCTGTATGTGATAGAATAATATCCATGCACTTACAGGGAAGCCCGGTTAATAACTACTATAATTGAAATTTATGCATCAACCACTAAAGCCAGTGAGGGTGAAGTAGAAGAATTCTACCAGCGTCTTCATTCTGAAATTGATCATACTTGCAATCAAGATGTATTGCTCATTACTGGTGATTGGAATGCAAAGGTTGGGAGCAAAGAGGAAGGACCAGTAATTGGAAAATTGGGCCTTGGTGATAGAAATGATGCTGGAGATCGCATGATAGAATTCTGAAAAACCAATGATTTGTTCATTTCAAATACCTTCTTTAGACAACATAACAGATGACTATACACATGGACATCGCCAGGTGGAACACACAGAAATCTAATGGACTACATCTGTGGAAAGAGAAGATGGAAAAGCTCTGTATCGTCAGTGAAAACAAGGCCAGGGGCAGACTGTGGAACAGACCATCAATTACTCATATGCAAATTCAAACTGAAACTGAAGAAAATGAAAACAAGTCCACGAGAGCCAAAATAAGACCTTGAATATATCCCACCTGAATTTAGAGATCCTCTGAAGAACAGATTTTGATGCATTA